GCCTAACACCCTGAGATGGAGAAACTTTTTTTGTTCTCCCTCATGGCCCTCTTTCACTGTTTTTGTTTCACCCCTGATAGGGGTATATATCCAAGTTTTTTGTTCCCCTTTTTAATTTTTTTATATTTTTTGTCCATTCATCATTTAAAGTTCAGTAGAAATGTTTTTAGACCACGAAACACTGCAATGCTTCATACAAAAATGCATAATACGTGGCATCAGCAAATTTTAATCATCTGTTTACTCATTATTCCTGTACACACAAGCACACAGCTTGAGTTTGCTTTAATAGCTTTGTTGGACTTGCATGTTTCTCTCTTGGAAGGTGGTGGCTGGGACTCTCACAAGATTGAATGTTCCTTTACCCTTTATCAGTTATTACTGTTCTATAAACCATGGTCTTAAAATATATGTCATTTAACGTGAGAGGCCTGAACACCGCCCACAAGAGACGATTATTATTCAAAGAAGCAAAATCCAACGAATCAGATGTGATTTGTGTACAGGAAACACATTTTAAAGATGATAAAGACCATAAAATCATGTCAAAGCTTTTCCCAGTTCAATACCATTGCACTTATAAATCCAAGTCTAGAGGTACTTCGATTTTTTTTCACAGGAATGTAGCATGCTTGACAAACAAAGTTATAACGGACGATGACGGGAGGTATTTAATATGGATAGGATCACTCAATACTATTGAATATACTATTGTGAACATGTATTTTCCAAACACCGGTCAGTTGCAGTTTTTTAGGAAATTGATGGACTCAGTGAATGAGAATGTGAGAGGCAACTTGGTAATGTGTGGTGACACGAATTTTGTGATGGATGGAGAGTTGGATAACGCTAGGGAAGACCGTGATCGACAGCTTAGAGGGGACAGTGACAGATTAGCGTATAAATGCTCCAGATATATGATTGAATGTGGCTTATACGATCCTTGGAGACTGTTGCATGAGAATGAAAGAGATTTTACGTATTATTCTGTCTCTAAAAATATGTATTCCAGGCTGGACCGGTTTATGGTCCAGGGTGCTTTAATTCCTCACATCTTGAAATCTGATATCTTAAACATTAACTGGTCCGACCATGCTCCAATCATAATGCATATTGACGAAATTGTTTCATCAGCCCCTAACAGAACTTGGAAATTAGGTGATTATTTGTTAAATGATGTTGTGAATAAGTCACTGACGGAGAAAGCTTTGTGTGATTATTTTTCGGAGAATGCCTCGCCCGAGGTTCCTGGCGAGGTGACTTGGAATGCGCATAAGGCTGTGTTAAGAGGTCATTTTATTTCTAGAGCGTCTTACCTGAAGAGAATTAATAGCAATAATTTAAGAACATTGGAAAAAGAACTGTATAATTTGAACCAAGCTAATAAATTTGGTCCATCGTCCTCCCTATCAGCAATGATAGGAGAAATTAAGGCTAAAATCAACAAAATTAATTTAGATCGTACATCTCTTATGGTGAGACGTCTCAGGAAAACATTTTACTTAAAAGGTAACAGGGCCTCAACTCTTTTGGCATCCAAACTCCGGCATGTGAATGCCCAATCAAAAATAGCATATTTAATTGATGATCAGGGGCAAAAAGTGTTTCATCCAACTAAAATTAGTGATATGTTCGCAGAGTATTATAGTAAACTTTATAATTTAGAATGTAATTTGGACCTCCCCCAGCCTTCTACAACAATAATTGATAAATTCTTAGACAGAGTGTCATTGCCTCGGCTGTCTCCAGTACATTTAGAAAGCTTAGAATGTGAAATATCAGCAGCAGAGATAGCTGAGGCAATTAAACTTATGCCATCTGGAAAAGCCCCTGGTCCCGACGGATTAACTATTTTATATTATAAAACTTTTCCAGAAATTTTAATTCCCCATATGACTAAATTGTTCAATTCCTATAAGTCAGAGGGAAAGATGCCAGAGGAGTCCTTGTGCGCACGAATAGTCACTTTGCCAAAGCCGGGAAAAACTCCTGATAGATGCCCTAACTTTAGGCCCATTTCTCTGATTAATAATGATTCAAAGATTTATTCTAAGGTTCTCGCTAATAGATTAACCAAACTAATCCCATTGTTAATTAATAAAGATCAAGTAGGTTTTGTGCAGAATAGACAGGCGCCAGACGGAACTAGAAGATTTATAAACTTGATTCAGCACATCAATATGACCAAAACACCTTCTTTGCTTCTATCTCTAGACGCAGAAAAAGCGTTTGACAGGATACATTGGGGATATTTATGGAGAACATTAGATAGGTTCAACATACCATCATCATTTATCACAGCAATTAAGGCGTTATATTGCGCACCCTCCGCCCATGTCTCAGCTTCTGGCTTCACATCCAAAACTTTTTCTCTAACCAACGGGACGAGACAGGGGTGCCCTTTATCTCCAATTTTGTTTGTTTTAGCGATAGAACCCCTGGCAGAACTGATTAGGACAACCCCACAAATTGTAGGAATTGCGGTTAAAGAATCCGTTCACAAAATTGGTTTGTTTGCAGATGATATAATCCTAGCTATTAAAAACCCAAAAGAATCTTTGAGACACCTCAAGGATATTTTAACTCAATTCGGTGAGATATCGTATTACAAATTAAATGAGTCCAAAACTCAAGCCCTTCCGTTTCATTTAAACAATTTGGAAACCATTGCCCTTAAGAAATCATATTTATTTGATTGGAGAACTGATTATATGGAATATCTTGGCATTAATTTATGCAAAAATTTGGTTAATATGCACAATCACAACCTGAGGAAAGCATGGTCAGACCTACAAAAAGAGATGGAGAGATGGGGTGGGATGGAGCTTTCATGGCTGGGGAGGGTCGCATCTATTAAAATGACGATACTCCCAAAATTTTATATTTTTTTAGGACCATTCCTCTGTCCATTCCATTATCATTTTTTAATAAAGTTCATTCGACGATGTTGAAATTTATATGGGGGAACAAGCCTGCCCGAGTGAGGCTCACTTCCCTGCAGCACCATAAATCGAACGGCGGTATCGGTGTCCCCGATATCCGCAAATATTATTTCGCCACTAACGCTGCAGTGGTTGTGAGCTTTAACAACCAGGATGATAAACCCAGATGGATGGAGATAGAGGAATCAAAAATTTCACCGGTTAGGCTATTAGAATTACCTTGGTTAAATCCCAAGAAAAGACCTGGAATTACAAAATTATTTTTATCCACCAGGACTACGCTTAAGGCCTGGGACATTGTTTTTAAAAATGACCAGTCTCCCAGTTTATATAGAGCAATGCCTATTGAATTATTGAAAGATCATATACCATCCTTAAAAATAGAATTATTAAAGGATTGCTCTATAACTAATCTGGACAATTTTTTCTATGGCAATGCTATTCTTTCTTTGGAAAAATTGAAGCTTAAGTATGGATTGTCGAATGCATGTGAACTGGAATGTATGATAATCATTGATAAATTGAAAGAACTATACCAGGTACCTGAAACAGATAAAAACTATAAATCACTTGAGATATCTCCTTTAGAGAAAGTTATTTTATACAGCCCCGCTAGTAAAGGTATTATATCCTTATGTTACTTATCTCATAATGCCAAGCCCTTAGTTAAATTAAAACATATGCTGTCATGGGAGACGGAGTTGGGTGCCCAGTACGATTTAGTAGAATGGTTCGGTTTCTTTACAGGTTTGAAAGGCATTTCGTACTGCACCGACCATTTTGAAAATCATTATAAAATCTTATATCGCTGGTACCTGGCTCCGTCTAGATTACATAACATGAACAATATGTATTCTGACCGGTGTTGGAGAGACTGTGGGGGAGTGGGCAATATGGCTCATATCTGGTGGTTTTGCCCCAAGTTAATTAATTATTGGAAAATGATCCACGATCTGATTATTAAAGTGAACGGAACCATTAGTATCTTAACCTCGGAACTAGCCTTATTTAAAAAACTCCCGGAGTCTGTTAATAGATCAGATAAAATAATCATAGGCCACATTCTGATCGCTGCTACATCCTGTTTACCTAGACATTGGAAGTCTCAAAATGTGCCATCTCTCAGAGAAGTTTTTAATTTGATTTTAGAAAATAAGGCACATGAACTATCACACAGAGCCAATATGCATGGTTTCCCAATACTAAAATACAACTGGGATAAATGGGAAGAAAAAATCAAAACAGTTTATGGTCTTTGATATATTTATTGTTAAAGTGCATTGTTGTAAAACATTTTTCCTTTTGCCTTATACTTTAATATGTTTATTTCATTGATGGATGGATACCCCTTCCCATTTCCATGTTACCCCTCCTTTCCTACCCCTAATACAATGTTTGTATTATTATCATTTGTTATACAAAAAAAAAAACTTTAATAAAAATTATTTGAAAAGAATTTGAGAACACAAACATTCATATTCATGTGTGTTTTTTTGTGTTCCTTTGTTAACTTTTTTTGAGGGGTAGGTTGCACACAAAAATAATCTTAGAGGGAATATCGCTACCATGTTCTCCTCTAATGAGAAAAACTTACTAGGAGTTCATTAAAGGAAGCTCATGGTAAGATGCCGTACCATTTTAACACAGTGTGACAACTTTCCCGGGCGTTCATGGCCATGTCAGTGTCTCCTTTTCTAATGATACCTCCTCCTATCTCGGTTGGAGTCGCCCAAGGCTCTGTCCTTGGTGCCCTTCTATTTTCTCTTTACACTGCCTCTCTTGGCAAACGTATTACCTCATTTGGATTCCACTACCACCTGTACACTGATGACACCCAGATATATCTCTGATCCACAGACCTCTCCCCTGCCGTCATGCAACGTGTCACTGCTTTCTTTCATCTCTGACTGGATGTCCTCCCCCTTTCTGAAACTCTTGTCTTTCCTCCTAATACTGATCCTCTTCTTTCACTCTCCCTTCAAGTTAGTGGCATCCAAGTCCATCCTTGCAAGCGCGCTGTCTTGGCCTTACCTTTGAGCCTCACATCCAGTATGTTGCCAAATCCTGTAGATTCCATCTTAAAAACATAGCCCACATCTGCCCCTTTCTTACACAAGATGCTACCAAGGAGCTTGTCCGTGCTCTAGTAATTTCCCGCATGGATTATTGTAACCCTCTCCTAATTGGTCTTCCCAAAAGCTGTATTGCCCCGCTACAGTCTGTAATGAATGCTGCCGCCAGACTGATTTTCCTCTCTAGTCAGTTCTCTCACACCTCACCCCTCTGTCAGTCCTTACATTGGCTTCTTGTATCCTACAGGAGTCAATTCAAAGTGCTAACCCACACCTATACAGCACTGAACAATTCTAGCCCCTCTTATATCTCTTTACAGATCCATAGGTATGCCCCCTTCTCGGTCTCTCCGCTCTGCCCGTGACCTTTGCTGCACGCACCTGTACGGCCAACCCACGCTTGCAGGACTTCTCATGGGCAGCTCCCTTCCTATGGAAAAGCCTGCCTACCGCATCAGACGCTTCCATAGTTTTCAATTAAGAAGTGCCTTAAAACGCATCTCTTTAGGAAAGCTTATGGCCTCCCAGAGTAACCTCTACCTCACATACCGGTCTCTTGCTCTCTCCTAAAAGGCAGCACTCTACTCTCTCCTCCAGCTCTGCTTCACTCCCACCTTATTTAATTGAGATTTCCTGCCCTAATGTGCTCCTATAGACTGTAAGCTCGTTTGAGCAGGGTCCTCTTCAACCAATTGTTCCTGTAAGTTTTCTTGTAATTGTCCTATTTATAGTTCATAATATTGTACAGCGCCAAAGAATCTGCACTATATAAATGGCAATAATAATAATAATAATAATAATAATAGTAATAATAATATCTACATACTTCCCAAGCAGGGCCAAGGAAACAGAGGGGCTAATGGAGCTGACGCTCTAGGCCCATGTCCATGGAATTGGCCCATTGATAATTTGTTTCTTTTCACATGCTCTCTAATGTTCTGCAGGCGAAATACGTTCTGTTAAATGCACAAGGAAAAACAATGTATTCTTCTCAATCAGTGCTCTTAATTGGGAAAAATAAAATACATTCCCTGCAAAAAAAAAAACACCCCAAATAAAAAAACCTCAAACCAATCATTAAGCAACAGTAAAAGGTTAAATCCTCCCGCATGCCCCTATTCGCATGGTTCAGTATTTTACATATAAGTGATACAGCCCTGCAGTAAGAGTACATGTAACCAAAAGTTATAGAACACTAGAACAATGTTGCAATATGACAAAGGAGCTATTTAAATCTAAAGAGCTACTTTTTACACGTACTCTTACCGTAGCTCTAACACTTCCTTAAAAAGATACATTTACATCCAGTTTTATATGTCGTAAAACTAAATATAAATCAGTAGGGGGTCACTATGACCCCAGCTGCCCAGTCACTAGTAGTTTTAAATGACAGCGAGCAGCCACTGGTTGGGGGGAAACATGCCCCTACTTGCGGCATGATTTAACCTCCTTTTTATCAATATGGGGGTCATAGTGACCCCCATACTGATTTATATATTTAGTTTTAGCTGCTGGCTGCTAGCTGTCATTTAAAACTGGATATAAATGTAGCTTATAGACAAGTGTTAGAGCTACGGTAAGAGTTCGTGTAAAAAGTAGCTATTTAGATGTAAATAGCTACTTTTTCCATACTATAACTTTTGGTTACATGTACTCTTACCGTAGCTCTGTATCACTGCTATATAAGATACTGATTTTTATATTCAGTTTTAAATTACAGCGAGCAGACACGTGGCATGCCTCAAGTAGGGGCATGCGGGATGATTTAACCTCCCTTTTATTAATATGGGGGTCATAGTGAGCCCCATAGGTTTTAATGCAGGGGGGAGGTGGGGTTGGAAATTAATATTTATTACAAGGAGGGAGCTGGTAGCGCTGATGGCTCGATCCTTGGGGGGGGGGGTTTTGCGCATGCGCACTTTTTTTTCCTCCGTGCTGTGGGGTTTAATTCCCCTGCAACACGGAGTCTATTAAACGAACGAAACGGTAATGCATTAGGTATTTGCCGTTTCGTTTATGTTTTATGTTTTAGTTTATGTTTATGAATACGAAAAAAAAATGGTATTCGTATGAAAACGAATGCACATGACTACTAAGGAATAATTTCAGAACTAAAGCAGTTAATTGCAAGTATCAGCTTATACATTGACATGCCTAAATTAGAAATTTCCAGTTGGGGGAAAAAAAAATAGTTTAGATTCAGACTTAAGAGTGAGTGTTACTTTTAATGCTGGTATATTTCTGCTGATTATTTTTTATTTCACATTTTAACTCATAAAACAGACACCAGCTACTGCTGTTGCCGCCCCCCTCCCCTGTCTCATAATCGTATCATCAGGCAGGCTTTCACGTCAAAATGCACGCTTCTGTAATGTTCCCGCACAGCCCCCTGGCACGATAGTGTAATAGCATTCATTCCTCAAGGTACAATCCCTGAGCATTTAATGGAGTGAAAACGAAAATAAAATGTAAAAAAAAGGCTAGCGGAAAAAACAAAAAAAGGCTAAAAAAACCTCTACAATCTTACCAAGGAACGCTCCTTAAATCTTCTATATCCCTATTATGAGCAAGTTTTCTGCCAACTTGTCATTAAAAATGAGGTTGCCCAATAGAGTAAAGGGCATGGGACACAATTTACAGACTTACATGGCCGAGGAGGGCAAAATGGACAAGTTCTTTGACCCAAGTAAGTTTTAATGTGTCCTGTCAAACCAAGTATCATCAGCCAGTCAATACATTGTGTCATGTTCATCACAAGAAAAGCAAACTCCATGCCCATTTCCTTATAAAAGCTGCACAGAACACGCAGCTATTGCCCAAAACAAGGAGTGCGTTTGCTGTTGCAATTGTACTTCATCAGTTATGAAGGTTTTCCTTGTGCTCCGGCTACCTGAATGGACCTTTCGCACAACACTGCTACCTGTCCAGGTGATATTGACCTTTGACCACTGTGCTGCTATTACACCTGTTCTTTCTGCTCTGGCCTATCGCTAGCCGGCTTCCAGTGTTGAAATACAACCTAGTTTTCATCCTTTTCCAAAGGACGGGGACAGGAGCTGCAGGTGGGGAACAGTTCACCATGAATGATAGATTATTTAGCTGTTAGGGTGTGCGACATCTGACCTTCAGCTCGATATATGGCATGATGATAAAGGAGGAAGAGGGAATGGAATTATAAGGTGTGTGCAAATCGTGTAACGTGTGTGCCCATTTAAATCTTAAGTCAGAGCACAATTGTCCTCCATGCCCCAAATTTAAACATATCTCCCCCTCCAACTGTCCCTTGATATGGCAGAACAGTCATGTTTTGAAGCCCCATATCCTTCATCCCGCACTGGTCCACTGGTTTTAAGATACCGCCTGCCGGTGATGGCAGACTATTGGTGCTCTAACTGCTGTGCCATAGGTTAGCCATTTTTTTTTTTACTTAAGCACAAAAAAGTTTGGTAAAGACTGATGTTATGCGATGTCTGGCTTTCTGCTCCCATATAAAAAAAATAAAAAAACATCCGAATAACATCCTAAATTTGATTTCAAAGTAATCGAGTATTTGTTTTGTTTTTTCCAAAAGAAAGATTTCTGTGCACATTATGCATATTCCGACCGTTCCCAAACTGTATGTCGAGTTCCTTGCACAGTGCTGGGGGCTAATCAGCTCTGCTAAGGAAATCGCAGGAAATGATTGGCTTTTGGCCTCACATGCTTGTATAATTTAGGAGTCTACCCCCATATTTCATGAAATCATTTCAAAGCGATTTAACAAATGCCGCGATCCCCAGGAACCCATAGCCCACCTTCCTCTACAGTTGCATTCATAATACATTTCAGTATCAACAAATGTGATTCCGACCTGGACAGTAATGAGAGGCTAAAAGTGAAGAATCGCCCAATGAGCTGTAGTGGTTATGGTGCTTTGAATGCCGTTTAATATTGATTTACGCTAAATTTTAGTCTGCCGGGCACGTTGTTTTAAACGTAATCAGTGCAGCAATAAAGTCAGACATGGGAGTCATTTTAGCTTTATTCCCATGATGCTCTGCTTGTGATCTGGGTAGTGTCAATATTCCCAGAAGGTGTTTGTCCCGGTTGCTAAAGAAACATTTACAAACGTGCCGTTCATGGGATAGAGACTTGAAGACATCCAAAGAATTCTGCTGTGATTACAGCCGTGTCCAAGATACACATTAACTGACTTCCCATTAGTGAAAATGCAGCTACTATGCAAATCAGTCCCCAGAAGGCAATGCAGAGGAATCTATAATCAGAACCTGTATATTGGAGATATTCATTCCACAGCCTTAAAAATAAATAAAATAATTTAAAAATCACTTAAAAGAACATACGCAGACATGCTATTAAATATATCTGTCTGCCCATGCTCCATCTCCCCATTTTCAGGAGTTAATCCTTTGCGTAGAGGTACGCCAGACGCATTGCAAGGTAAGGCTTTGGGCACACTGCTAGCATTTAAAGGGTTAAAGTGAATATCTTCTTACTCACCGGGACATGGTTGAAAATACCAGGATTAAGAGTGCCTTGGCGTAAAATAAAGCAGAGCTCGTAATGTTAGATAAAGCACGATATGGTACAGATATTAAGCTACGAGACATGATATGTCTGGATGTTGTTTCTGCCTAAACCTCCCCACCCTCTAGGCTCAGCATGAAGAACTGCAAACAGAATTTACAGCTACCGAATGATTAACCCCCGCATCTCTGCAAATCTGTGCAATACCCGCTAAACGTATATTTACGTAAAAACACCTAGCACTCTGCAACAGCATTTCTACGTTATCCTTTAACCTCCTCATGACTAGTGTCGCGACTTGATGGTCATGGTGTCACAGGATTTGTCTAACTCCTTATCCTGAATGTGTTTTTCTTTAATGGGTCAGTGGAAGAACTAACAGGATACTCATCTTGACACATCTAACAGAAAAAAAACCTACACAATCTATAAGAGAAAGAAAAAGAAAACCATATGTTGGGTCACCATGGTCACCAAGACAACTTTAGCTTAATGAAGCAGTTCTGGTGTATAGATCACACCTCCACAGTCTCACTGCTCAATTCTCTGCCATATAGGAATGAAATCAGTTTGGTTTCTGTTTATGTAGCTCTACCTCCCCTGGCAGTGACTGACATACCCAGCATAAAAAAAAAGGTTTTCATTTTAAAACAGATATTAACTTGCTTTAGACATTTTTATCTC